CGTGCGAAAATCAAGAATTATTATTCACAGAAAATTTGCACGAAGGACCCTGCTTACGAACCATATGTTACTGGAGCACATGGGTTTAGCCCTCCTGATTTGAAATGTTCAATTTGCTCTCGTAGTTGTACAGAGTGATTGAATATGGATTTCACGTTTTCAACACTCAATATTTCGAAAACTAAATAGACATTGGAAACTTCAAAACAAAATCTTGAATCGGAGATTGTTCTCTTTTGAGTGGTGCCCTTCAAACTATATTTCCATCCATAAACGAGGAGTGTGAAAATGTAGAATATTGTCAAATGGAACACTCTATATTTTATTGCATATTTTAGAGAGATTTTTGCTGATTTCAAAAATATATAATTTTCATATATTCCATGGAGTAATACTGGTTGATTCAAAGGAATATAACGTAGATAATTGCAATTTTTGTCATGAATTCATCTGATTCAACTAAAGTTGGGCTGAACCGCTGAAACCAGGTGATTATCAAAAATATCGATTGTCAGTTGACCTGACATCAAACTTGAATTCAATTAAATAATTTTACGACCCCAATTACCATCAATTATACTCCTTCGATTAACCCACTGTTACTCCATAGATTTTATGGAAGTTATTTATTTTTGAGATCAGCAAAAATCACTTGAAATATGCAATAAAATATAGTGTACCATTCGAAAAAAAATCACGTATTCACCCCCCCCCCCCCCCTGCAAATGGGGATAATATAATGTTTGGAGAGCACCATTCAAAGATAACATCAGATTCAAGAGTTTCTTTTGAAAGTTACAATATCTCATTTAGGTCTCGAGATATAGAGTGTTGGAAGCGTGAACGAATGTACTCCACATCGATATCTATCTCAAATTGACCATTCCATGTATCTATAACAGGTGATATGTCGTTCATTATTTAAAATCATCACAATATTTTTTCAGTCGTTAATTATTTAAAATCATCACAATTTTTGTTAACAATTACAATAACCACCTCTCGAAAATGCTAGCTTTCGATGACGTGATACACTGATAAGCATTAATAGTTTAATATTCCTAAATGAGGGCTAAAACATTATTTATTTTCCACCAGATCGTGCTGCTGAGACGTGACGTCATCAGTGTTGGTTGAACTGATAGGTATATATACTTTTTTTCCTGTCATCTGGCTTCTTGTTATGATATCTTCTCTTTGCATGTAAAGTTCCATATTGTGAGTAAGAAACGCAAATCTGTCGGAGTATTACAATAACGAGTTTCTCAGTTCACAGAATATCTTCTTGAAACAGGCAACAGCCTTCAGGAAAGAGCTATCCGGCAAAATTCTGGTACTTTTGTCTTTGACATTGGCCTTATAGGCTTAGTAACGCCAACTGGTGAGACTGAGAATGTGTGAGCCCTCATAAAGAAAAATATATCCATAATCCACATAGAAATGAGAATTTACTTCCACAGTAGGTGTACATATGAGATATAGACAATACAAAAGTTGTGTATCGTTTATACGTTCCACTGGATTCATCGCGGTATATCCCAGACTGCACGATGACATCTCAAAGACGTCGACCCAAGACATTCGGGACGTCTTAAAGATGTCTTTATAACGTTTAATCGTACATAAACTGGACGTCTTGAAGACGTCTTATGCCTGTGGAACCAATAATTCCACCGAAACTATCAGCAATAATCATTCACAAAATTGAATATATACTGCCTCTTTTACGAAAACAATTTTTTTTACTGATAAAATATTGCCGGACCTCGGACCTCAATAAGACATCTTTAGGACATCCATTTCTGAAAGTCTCTGAGACGTCCATTTCATGACTGTGAACCCAATAATTTCACCGAAAACATCAGCAATAATCATTCATTCTGAATCAAAATTGAATTACTGCCTCTTTCACTAAAATAATTTTTTTTACTGATAGAATATTTCCGGACTTCTCTAAGACATCCATTTCTGGACGTCTTCAAGAAGTCCATTTTATGACTGTGGACGTTCAGGCATTATATGGACATAAAATGGACGTCTCTAAGACGATGGATGTCTCTAAAGGAACGCTTAAAATCATATATCCCATCAGGGACATGCCAAGGACGTCCTACAAAATGTAACGTGGGGCGTCTAAGGGATGTTATTTCTAGGAAATTTGAAATGATGTACCTGCTGGGACATTCTGTGGACGTTCTTGCTCGGACACTTATTTTCGGTCCGGGACATTCGGACTCGAATTGTACCAAATAGGGACGTCCCTAGGACGTTGTGTGCTGTTAGGGTTGTATTTGACCACTAACCCAGTACTTAGATAGAATTCAAATTATTTTCGATTGAATATATATTGCGTTTTTGAGATTCTGAACAAGTTTTTTGTACAGCCCCCTATTCTAAGAATTTAGTTCACTATATTATTGTATATTACCTATATGTTTTTCTGATATTTGAAATTACTTATCTATAGGGGACTATATATAGTCTCAAAAATATATGTGATGTAGATATTTCATTAGAGTAACTAGTAAGCAGGGTACTCCTTTGAGGTTTGATATTAGGTATACCTATATACCTATACTTGATAACTTGAAAGTGTTTGAGTATGAAATGATTATACAGATACAGTTCGATGCCTACTGGTATAAAGACTCAACAAGATGAATATAATCATAATCTTCAAAACAATCACCTATCAAATATCTTATTAAGAATAGGTTTTTCAAATGAATGGTGAATATATATGTCTGATGAGCAGGGGCGGATCCAGACGATGTTTGATGGGGGGGCCATAGAAAGTCACGGCTCAATAAGGTTAGCGCGGAAGAGAAATTATATGGTGACTTTCTGAGATAAATGCTTTTTCATTGAAAAATTGATTATAGTAAACATGAAATCTTTAGTTTCCTTTCAAGTATCGAAATTACTGGTGTAAAAAACGTTCAAACTATTCTTATTCCATCAATATAATTATGTAGAATTCTGTGATAAATCATATTGGATAAAAAAAGTTAATAAAAAAATATGTCTCTTGAAGAGCTTGGGTTCAAAAGTGAATAAAAATATTTCATCAACATTCAGACTGCTGCAGATGCGTGAATATGCATCAATGCCAATCCATTTAACCTGTCTTGGACTATTCTGGATCTTATCCAATCTTTCAGGCTTCTGAGTGTTGAAAAACTTCTTTCAGAAGATGCAACACTTACAGGCAACATAATGGTTCCAGAAGAATGTTTATGTTAGGAAACAAATGTTTGTTACATCCCTTCAGTGCAGTTATACCATTGTTTGGTATATTTTGCTTAGTATCCCACTTTTTCTTCCATATATAAATCTCAGGAACGATCTTCTGGAAGGATATTTCATCATTCTCCTCAAAAATGGTCGGAAACTGTTCAAGTATATCTCTCATACCTCATATAATCTCTCATCTGTTTTGTTTTTAGTTATTGATGGCACACAAAGGTGAAATAGATTCAATTTATTTTCTGAGAGTCTATCATTCAGATCGAGGATAATACTGGGATGAAATAGTCATTCTGCAATGGTCATCCACTGAGGAAACCGTCTCCCTGTTATTCTCGGCATCGAAAATTCAACATTCAGTTCTTTCAATTTCTGTTTGGTTTCATTCGAAATACTTAGATAGTATTTAGAATATCATTCCTTTTATTTTGAAGCGTCATCAGAAGAGTGACACTAACAACATCGTTAGCTTGTTTTTAGTCCAAGTTTTTTGTTTGGAGCAAATTACTGAGTGGCAGTGTTATCGAAAACATATTTGCCAAACAGCAATTTGCAATTCCTCAGGGCTGTTGCGAAGTTTCAAGCTATAAAGACATATATACACTAATTTTTTCATTTATTTAAAATACCTACATTTTTACATATCCATGAGATTCCCGAGGGGGGGGGGGCCATGGCCCCATGGCCCTCCCCTTGGATCCGCCCCTGCTGATGAGACATATTCACCATCATCGCACTAAGTGAATATATAGATAAAATATGCGTCATTTGGATTAGAAAGAATATATACAGGTATCTATATTTTAAATACTCTTTTTCACTCGCATAGGTAAGTATTCAAATTTAGAGAATTAATCGATTGGCAAATGTTATATATATCATGGTTATTGTGATTGGACGAAAGGATGTCCAAAGGGAGTCCAATGGATGTCCATATATATCATTCGTCCATTATGGGGAAAACTGAATGTCCCTAAATGGATATGTCCATTGTACACTATTGGTTAATGGACATCCAGTGGATGTTCATTTAGTGTCCATGTCCATATATGGACCAAGCATTGACATCATATGGATATCCATAGGATATTCTATGTTTACTGGGGTATATGCTGTGGTTGTTCTGAGACACCTCTAGCTATAACAACAAACAATTTTGACATGAAAAAGTGAATTTCTCAGTAACCAATATTGAAAATAGGAAAATGATAACTTTCCCACTGAGTCACTCATCTAAAATTGATCATATACACATAATAATAATATACACTTTTGTCTATATAATGTCCAAGCTCCTCTGCAATAATCATTTCCTAAGGAAGTATTCCCAAGAAGTTATAACATATATGTTCTCCAAAAGTTGAAAAAAACAAAATATCTCCCTATCCTCCCTAAGTAGCCACAATATGTTCTTTGAACATAATAAGGATTCCCCATGCAGTAAAAAAGGAAGGTAATTTTGTATTGGATTGCATAAAAATTTGCCAGTTTTCATCATTGGTCTACAATTGAACCCAATATCATCAGTCTGATGTTGGGGCAATTACTTATTTAGTTGAGGGTTCAATAGGTCAGCAAGTTGTGACCTTGCAAGTTGTGAATCTCTAACTTCATCTTTGAAGATCTGAAAAAAAACTGCATCTCAAAGGATATAGAATGATCCCAGTCATAAATGGTGATCCTTGCAGTTAATGTTTTGTAATTATTATTGTAAAAAAAAATCAAAATGACAGTTCTTCAAAATAGTATAATCAAAATCCCAGTCAAAATCAAATAAAAACCAAATAAAATCAATAAAAATCAAGGTAAAAATAGAATGAAAATCAGATAAAAATGATAGATCCTTGAAATATAAAATAAAAGTTCCACCACTTGGGGATTTCATGAAAATTTAAAGGTATCAAATGGGTAAACCATTTTCCACTCTCAATAAAAGCTCTCAGTGCACCTATCTAAAATGTAACATCACCATAGTTTACTAGCAGATTCTTTATTGATGAAACAATCTTTAAAACCTTTAATCAAGTCCCGATATTGATACCACACAATATTTTTTTCACATTCTCCTATATTAATACATGTCTTTTGTTGGTGATTTATGGAGTGGTTTTCATCTTCAAAAATTGTTAAATTTTCACAGCAATTACTGGGGACAGCTTCATTGTCAGGCTCAAAGTAAATCTGAACATGTTTCATTTTAGATGAAAATGTCAGTGGTTTAGCAGGTACAAAATCAGTCTGTGATTTACAGCAGTCTTCAGATCCTATGATATCTTTCTTAAGGTAAACATATGTATTGGTACAACTGTAAGAACTACTGACATGAGCTAACCATTCTTTGGAAAGAAATAACCTTCTTAGTATCCTCATTTGATATCTGCCCAGATCAGCAGCATGGTTTCTTTCAACATGAGATTTTGTAAGACATGAAATATAAATTGTGAAAATTTCTTTTGGGCACTGTGGTGTGGCTCCGAAGAGAAAAGTAACTTCCTTGATATTATTCACACATTCTCGAAACTCCCTTGTGATAGCAAGCATGACGCTTTCTAGAGTATCATATGCTGAAGACACAACATGGAAATAATTTGCTGCTGAAAGGTTTACTCCATGATATGGTCCTCCATTATCGGAATGCTTACGTTTCTTATCAACCATCATCTTCATCCAACTATAGGGATAGGGAATTTGAGATTTTTGATACTGAAGTCCTTTCAACATCTCATTTATCAGAGAAGCACATGTTAGTGGTGTCAGAACAATGTCAGATATATCTAGCTTCATTATAAGTGAATTTTGTGTTATTTCAGAATTCTCGTTCAGTTGATGGTCCATCAGGTTAATATTTCGAAATTCAAATAACTTGTTTGGGTATGGGTATTTTCGAATTTCAAGTATTTAGTATTTCAACGACTTCCAAATACGTCAATCAATTCACCTTTATGACAAATTGACAATGACAATTTGACAATTGCCACTTGACAGAAGTTGCGTTTTATTTGTCGCATTATGGTAACGGTGGTGGAAACAAAATGACGTTTACGAATACAACAAGAAACTTCAGAGAGAATTTACATATTATAGGTAGCATAGGGTGCGTTTTTCATTCCAACATTTTTGCTGCTATTCTGCACACCAGTACAGACTCTGTAGGCTATGTATAATTCCATATTTATAGAATGTGAGGAAATCAATGTTCTGCCAGTGCGATTTCGATATATTTCTATAAAATGACATTACATAGTATGACCCTCCTATGGACCCGATTTTCTCACTGTAATTGTTGAATTACTTATGTAGGTAATAATATGGATGTTATGAGAAATATAGTAAATGATACAATTGATACAGATAATTACCATTCTAAAATAACCATTTTAAATTACATAGATGATGGTCGGCAGAATAGCAGCATTTATCATGCGCATGAATCGAAGAAACCATCAAACTGTTGCAAAATTCCGCTGGAATGTTGGTGGACATCCATCAAACTGTTGTAATAAAATGCGCACTTTTAAATCGCTTTTCGAGAATCCAGCAAGTTGGAGGAGATTGACATGACAGTTGACACATTTTAGTGTTGTTTTTTGTTTTGATTTGATAGAGAACAATTAATATTGAGGATTTTTGAGATTCTTGAGAGATTTCAGAAGAAAGAGTAAGTGTTAATCAATAAAATCGAATTAGCCTCTTCTGATTCTCAAGATACATGATGACTGACACACAACAAAATCCGTGTTTCCATCAATGTGTTGTATAAACCATTGTTCAATCCTTCCAGCATAAATTCCAACAGAACAATTGGTGACGTCACGACAAAAAACCGCATCTATCAGTGCGCACTTTCTTCGATGGAATGAAAAACACGCCCGTACACTAGGGTCCCTTGATGGAAATTGACGTTAAAGTCATCTTAACAGGGTACGGACAGATCATAGCTGCATGATCTAGAGACTTTAGTCAAAGAGGATCCATGGGCGCTACAGAAAGTCATCAAAAATTTTAATAATAAGTATGTACAGGGTATTTACTTCTTGAGGAAGTTCATATTGCGAACGAGTTTTGTAATTATGATCCGATTCTATTCAAAATTGGAAGGTGAATGGTAAACGAGCTTTGTAACGAATAGTTGTGTGAAAAATCAAATAAACACGCGTTCTTAGATAGCAGAAAATGTATAGTAGTTTAAAAAACTGAAGACATAGATTGCCGAGCTGAAAAGGAGTATAAAATGAATAGTTTTTTAAAAAACTGAAGGAACACGCTTTTATGAATAGGCGAACTAAAAAGGAGTAGATAATGAAATGAATAAAGTGTGCTGGTAAATATTTAACTGAAAGAGTATTCTCTAGAAATATTATGAGCCAACTATAGTAATCAAGTAATGATATTTTTTATTCGTTCCCAATAAAATGTGTATATTGTTGAGAAAAGAAAATATTGACAGTGTCAAATGATTTCTGAATGTTGATGATTATAAAATTCAAGAAAATAAAAAGATTTTACGATTGAATAATTTTATACACAGTGTGATATTAGTCACTCCATAAATTCTTCTCCGAGTTGGATTTCCGAAAAACTATTCAGCACACATGACATGAGTACAGTATAGTTTAGATACCCACATCGAGGTTTTCACCATTTCCCATTCATAAGGCTCAGTTCATTCAGCTCATAGGAAAACTACGGCTCAGCTTGAAATCAGAATTCATTCAGTCAATTCAGTAAACCCTGCTATACAGTCTATATAAGAGCAGTCTCTTTTGGTGAAATATATTAAGCTTCCAGTACAATTTGTATGTTCCCTACCTCGCAAAGATTAATGCTGGAGTAGTAAACTCTAAAACTAGAGGATTGATCATCTATATTTTGGTATAGTTGAATCAGGAATTCCATATGGAAATTACGTATGATACGCCAATGACCTAAAAAACACCAAATGTCAAAAATATAGTGTTTATCCCCAGAATTGAATAAGGATGGAACTATATAACTGTTTCACAAACACTTTAGAGTGAGAAGAGACGAGGATCTGTCCGTACCCTGTTAGATGACAAATACGTCAGTTTGCATCAAGGGACCCTAGCGTACACTAGAGTCACTGGATGTTATTAGTTTTATCTCCTTGTTTTATCAAACTAATACCATCCAGTGACTCTAGCGTGCACGATAATCGACCCTAGAAGTAAAATATTGATGGAAGTAGGATATGGTGTAATTACTGATGTGCTTTTGTTTTAAAAAATTTTACTCGACCTCTCGAGAACAGCGAGAGCAATGGTTCAGTCAATCTCCTAATAGATGGCGACATTGCACAATTATTTTCCGTCCTTATAGATTCAAAAAGTACCTCTCATTTTGGTCCCGTTTTTGTTGAGTTGAGATATAGGCGATGCGCCATATATACAAATAGTAAGGGTAAAATATTGAAACACAACCTCACTTTTTTGTGAAATGTTGGAACACAACCTCAGAACATAAGAATTTCAAAATCATGATATACTAGATTTGAAAATCAAAAAAATGAATCAACGCATATTTGGAGCAGTGATTTTGGTGATTGAAGAAAGTTCTCTGAGAACGAAAGTATTTATTTCATCTGGGAATAAAGATATGAATCGTATGAATTTTATTGAATAAAATGGAATTCTATGGAATACGTGGATTGGCCAATGACTGGTTCGGGTCGTATTTGTCCCAACGTCAAATGTGTGTCCGTGTCACTCAGAGAAGTAACAACCAAATTCAGGAATTCTACTCGAATCTTGCTGAAGTAACATGCGGTGTTCCTCAAGGCTCCGTCTTGGGCCCCACCCTCTTTTTGATATATGTCAACGACATTGTTGCCAATTTCCCAACAGTCAGCTTTTCTCTGTTCGCTGATGACACGAGTATAGTCATACATGAGCCAAATACAGAAATGCTGGAAATTTCTTCACAGAATATCATGGATGGTATATCCGATTGGTTTATAGCCAACAAACTCTCACTCAACCTTGACAAAACACATAATGTTTTGTTTCAATTATACCAGAACAAACCCGGAATTAATATACTCCTGAACGAGAAACCGATCTGCCCACAAGATTCTACTAAATTTTTGGGGCTCCTTATCGATGAGAAGTTGGACTGGTCCGGTCATATTACACAACTCAACTCAAAACTTAGTAGAGCCATATTTGCATTACGTACCGTAAGACAAAATACGGGAGTATCCGTTGCCAAATCTGTTTACTTTGCCTATTTTCATAGTCTCCTACAATATGGAATCGAGTTCTGGGGTACAGCAGTAAACTCACCTAGCATATTTACAATACAAAAAAAAGCAATCCGAATACTTTTTGATCTGAAATATACAGATTCCTGCAGACCCTCTTTCAAAGAACACAGAATTTTCACCCTAACAAATTTGTACATTTTCAAAGTAACTCTTCTAATACACAAAAAACGGAATACACTGCTACGCCCGGCTGATATACACACATATTCAACGAGAAAACAAGAGGTTATACTACCACATTACAACTATACCAGAATTCGCAAATCTCCCATGTATACTGGAATCAAATTATACAATCATCTTCCTGAAAGACTAAAGTTAATGTCCAATGGTAAATTCAAAACTGAACTGAAAATTTTATTGCATCAATACATATTTTATTGTATCAGTGAATACTTTCAAACAGACTTTCTCTGAAAATTGCAAACTGTAGAAACAACTTTCTTTATATAATCTGAGTCTGCGCAGTTTACTACTTCCTTATGCTTCGTGCTTTTGACTTATATTCATAATAATTGTAGTTATTGTATGCATTGTTAATGCTCACTTTATTATTAACCTGTATGAATATTCGCCTGTGGGAAATAAATTTACTTACTTACTTACTTACTTGAAAGAATCATAAACTTGTGAACCTCAATTCTCATGATGAAAAAGCTCTGCTAAATATCTCCTACTTTGAAAAAGTTTCGTTTTTCGTCAATCTAATTAAATTTTTTGAAAACTGTCAACAGTCATTCCACTTAATTTCTTGTAGGATCCCTTGGTGTAAATTGACGTATTTGTCATCTCAACAGGATACGGATAGATCCTCGTCTCCTCTCACTTCTAAAGTGTTTGTTTATTCATCTCTGGGGATAAATACTAAATTTCTGACATTTGTTGTTTTTTAGGTTATATTGAGGACATTGGTGTATCAATCGTAATTTCCACATGTAATTTTTTATTCCATTCTACATATTATATCCAAATGATGATGATAACTTTCGAGTTTTTGATTTTTCAACTCCAGCATAAACTTGTGAGGCAAAGAGCAAATTTTTTTGAAAGTTTTTATACGTTTCACCAAATGGAAATGTTTTTGGGCAATACCTATCAATAAATAAATTTTGTTTTCAGACTATAAGCCTCATGGTTGAGAAATATGGTGAAACATTTTATGTAGGTATTTAAACAAATGTGCTCATATGTCATGTGTGCTGTATATTTGTTCATGTTGGGAATCATTTTTGCAGTTTTCCACGGACACTTAATATTTCCAGAATGTAGGTATAATTTTTTAAATGGTGGGACATATGCCTCTTCTATTAATCCTCCGTTTTAATCAAAACTGTTTCTACTGAAATACGTTCAAAAACGTGTGGAGTGGATAATTATAGGTACAATGAGAAAGTATAATATATGATTTTAGTTCTACCTCGAATATTTTGCTTATGTATTCACCAATTTTCCCCATTCGGTCACCTCACTTTCCATGTTCTAAGTTCATTTGCATTTGATGGAAAGCTGACAAATTCAAATTTGCCATTCAACTGATTGATACAGCCTAACGCAGCACATTTCACCATTCTTCCAAAACAGAATGGAATAATTTCGTATTAAGATCAAGTATGAAATTAAAATTTTATCAGATCTCTTTTAACGCCTATGAATGTGACGTGACAGCAATGTA